CGGCCTCCGCGGTGTCATCCCCGAGATGCAAGTAACCTAATTTCTGTACGTAAGAAGTATCCGCCGAATTGCACATTGGCAGCGATTCTCGTCGATTACCGATAGGCCAAAGTGTCGTCTAACTCGTCGCACACACTCCAGTTGAGCTCCGAAAATCAAGACGCCGTCGCCGAATCCGACTCGCAGCGACTCGACATCGTATACGCTGTGTCGCAGCACTCGGTGGCCCGCTTGTCAAACCGATCTCTCCCCCAACTCGCTCCTTCCTTCGTCTCCTTCTCTCTTCCTCTTTCGGCTCTTCTTACGTGCGCGCTCTCGTAATCGTCTCACGAGAAACTCGGCGCAAAATATGCGTCATGCGTACCGAGCCCTTTTTCTACCTTGATTTTGGGCTACGCCCTCGGACTCGCGTCGTTGCTCTTCAAGTGCCGACGCGTTGACCGGTGCACACCTCTGCCTCCTCTCGTTGCAACTCCGAAAAATCACCACCTGCGAAAATTCATGCGCACATGCCCGCAGCAACACAGGAACGCGTCAGTGTAAATCGTCTTCTGTCAAGACAGAGACCTGCGGCAGGTGCCGCAGTGCTTTGAAGCTGTTTTACAGATACCGTGTTGTGGTAAGATGGCAAAAGTAGCTTCCAGTACGTTGCTGTTCAGCAATACGAGCGAGGCTCACAGCGATCCTCGATTCATTCTCTTCTAAGAGCGCCTGATCGCGTCCAAGCGCGTTACGCTGACAGCCATGGACGCTTTGCGTATTTTTTACGAGGCATTTTTATTCGGTTCGGCTTTAAATAAAATTTAAAAAATATGCACATACAGTAGGCACTCATCAGTTTGTTGCCCCTAAAAGGTAAAAAATGTATTTAAAAAATGAGGAAAAGAAAATATACCTGTCGATAAATGCAAGGAAAAAGAGCCTTGGCTACAAGCAATAGTCTTCATTCATGTCTGGCAGTGAATGGCTTCGAATGAAGTAGACTGCAGATACTGTTACCAACGAAAGATACGCGACGAATAATATTTAAGGCGTTTAACTTATAATACATTATTAATTTTATAATTTATTATTAATTACATATTTCAAAAAATAGGTACATACATCTACGATACAATAATATTGTATATTTTCATAAAATTATAATTTAGTAATTATCATTTGTAGGAAGGTGAAAACTCTGTAGAGAAACACCGTTTTATAGAAATATACAATATCATTGCATGCGTATATATTTTTAATAATATATAAACATTATAAAATTAATTAACATCATAAAATTATAAGAAATTATTACATTTTGATTTTACGTTATACATTATAATATTTTAATCAATTATAAAATTATTCCATTATAAACTAATTATCGAAATGCATTTGGTCGGTAATGATTTTATTTTTTCAACCTCTTGAGCAATTTTGAAAGTTTCGAAAATTAACTTAGGACTGTTTGTCTTAATATCTCGTCACTTTGCCTGCCAAGGACAGATTGAGCCACTAAAGACGCAATATCTGGCCTTGTGCATCTTCATGCAGTGACTCTACTTGCGCGGAATAATAATGCCATGTAATTCCATGCTGTCTACTTTACACTATGTTTGATAAGAGCAATTTGTGGAAAAATATGTGTATTTAAATTCTCTATAATATAAAATAATTATAATGTTTTAATAAATTATTTGCAATTAATTAATTTAATAAGTGCAGTCCTGTGAATTCTAAGAGTATTTTATAAATGCTAATACGTTTTAGACTTTAATTTGAATAATTAATTTTGTCATTAATCTCTAAATCTCCTTTCATTCTAATTAAATTTAATTAGCTTTCACGCACAGTCTATAAAGATAAAGCTTTCCAGCGCGATTTCAATGGGATTCTAGATTCAGGATAATCAGGGGCTTGTGTGCAATCGCACGGCTCATCTTGTGATCGATGAATTCTGAGAAATGGGTCGACGATGAGACTAATTGCGCATAATGCGTTTTATTCTTTATCTTCTTATTCTCTTTCCATTAAATTGTAACATTTTCAGATGAATGAATAAATTATATTGTCCGCAGTTTATTTATGTTAATTAGATATGACTTATATGTAAGCTGCAATTTGTGAAGAAAATAATATTCTTAATAAATAATAGATAATTCTAAATTTATAACTTACCTATAAAAATAAATGTATACGTAGTCCATTATTTATCAGATCTTTCCATGATTGTTTAATAATTATTCCCGTCTTATGTATCATATTTTAATTACTCATTGATCAGAATAAATGTAAAATCATGAACCGCGAAGCTATGGAATACAATTCTATATCACTAAAAGTTATCGGGCCAAGTTAGCGGTTGAAGAGTTAACTATCGCACGGGAATGATTAAAAAGTCTGGGTACATCTGATCTGATCGTTACGACGTCGCGCCAGTACTTGCTGTAATCGCGTCTCGCTGTCGTCCTACGCAGGAAAGGAACTAACTTTTCACCCGTCGTGTATCGCAGCTGTTCGCCGCGCAGCGCGATAGCGTGGGTGTCGTGACCTCGCTCAACGAAAACCTTATATTTCCGAAAGGTGAATAAAAAACGCCAGACTTCAAGCCCTCTCGTACCACCCACGAGACAGTCAGCACCCACGTTTTCGCCAAGCACCTGCGCGACTAGCCGCCCGCGTTGGCCAATACCGGTTGATCGATCGATCGGTGCTAGCGCTCGTGACGCAATCTCGCGTATTCAGGATTCGATATCTGATTAATTCGCGAATCTCGTAGAGGCATCTATCGCTGTCCATATGCTCTCTTCCTGTTGCGCCGATGAACAATAAGTTTCGGCGAAAGACTTAGACACGGTCTTGATTTGAGCAATTAAAATATTCAGAAAATATATAGCAATCAATAAGATTGTTAAGATATTTCTATTTTTACAATAACTTTTTGACGACTCTGAATAACGAAAACTAAAGATTGCTCTGATGGAAATATTTTGCTGAAAGTACTATGAAATCAATGAAAAGTAAAATAAAAGTTTTTGAAAAATTACTGAATATGTTTCAAAATAAATCATAATTTTCCGTATGAAAATTTAATGTAATACTATGAAATATAAGGAAAGTTAAAATATACTGCTGAAAAGTAATAAGAGTTTTGAAATACTAGACATTATGAAATTCAGTAAATTAAACTGAAAACTGTTACTTTTCAATAAAAAATTGCTAAAATATTTATGAAATTAATTAATGAAGTCAATTGAGAGAAATTTCCAAATACATTTCAGCAAAATTTCGTTATATTTTCAGAAAAATATTTCCATTAGGGTGAAACCGTTGTTTAAAAATTTAAAGATTTTACGATTCACACGACCGGTCGCGCAAAATTATTACCGCTATGTATTCTAATTTCTTATCGTGGCAGACAGGCGGTATCGCGTGAGTGCGCGTACGCAAAGTGTATACTGTTCACTGCAAGACGCATTGCGTCCCAAGCGGAAGTGCAGTGACCAACACGCACGGCACGGCAGCGCATTCTCGTCGCACGAAGCCCTGTGTGACATAAGGCCTGATACACGTGTCACGTCGATGCGACAATAAACGAGGCAATCGTGCTTATATGAACAGTTATGTGCGCTGATGTACATATGTGGAACCATGCGCGTACAGACGTAATAATTTAAGCAGGAAATACATCTTTACGCATACTTCAAATGTTATAGAATTTTTTTTTAATTACTGTAGAGCGATTTTTGTAAAATTAATCGCATATACATAATTGCCATCCTTTGCGCGCAAGTATAATCGCAAATATTTGCTCATTGTTTATCATGTAAAATAATTTATACATTTTTGCGTATCTATGGAATATTATGTGTGTACGCATACTTTGAAGTAAACGTACGTATGTTTGCGCGCGTGTGTAGAATAATCGTCCACCTGTGTACACCAAACAAATATAAGAACACGATGCATCCGCAGCAGTTCGATTTGTGTTTTCCGATGCTGTCTAAGCAAAAAAAAGGTTCCTTCGCATTGCGGAAAGATGTAAAGTTGGTATCATAACGCATTTAATTGGATGGCAATGTAATTACATGGAGAGTGACGTTGTGTACCGCTTATTTCGCAATTGAGTTGATTGGTATCATCTAAATGTCTCGCAATTGCAAGAAGTGAAAGACATATGCAAGAATTGTAATAAACAACGTGTAGCAAAAGTCTCACACTTTCTCCGAACACTTTCAACGATATCACGTTAACGAGAATACAAATTGTTTCAATGTGGCTGGGAAATTTTTCATGAATTAAATTTGCTAAAAAAAATTCTTAACTATGTTAAACTATAAGTTTCTCTGCTCACTTTATCAAATTACAGCTCCCATAATAATCCCACCGCTCATTGTGGAGTCACAATTATCGCAATAAACGTCACGAGCATGCAAATTGCGTAAAGCAACATTGCAGCCGAGTCGTTCGAAACAAGGAAACAGAGTGTTACGAAAAATAGAAACGCGTGCAAGATGCACGATCGTAAAGCACGAATTATGAAATAAATGCTTTGCATACTGTCAGCTTTATGCGCGGTACGCAAATTTCGATGCGACTTCCTTCCCGCCCCCGGCAATTCACTTCCTCGTTCGCAGCGACGTTCGTATTTGCCACTTTTTGTGCAATCGAATCGAATTCCTGCAGGCTGCGCCGAGCAACGGAAGCTTCTGCGTTCCAACGACGACTACAGCGGCGTACGCATTTCCTCCTCGCGCTCCTCTCACGGGCGTTCACGGGCTGGTGTCGGTTGACACGAACGCGTGTGTATCGATACATACTTCGCTTCTTAGTTACCACCTTGACAAGAATTTCGCCCAAAACCGGTTCACGCTCGTAAAGCGTCTCCCTCGTCGCGATCTCTTACGCGTTTCCGTTCCGGATCTGTGGACGGGGATTTTTAATGCGGAGGATACGATTGACCTTAGCTCACCGCGAGTGCATTAATTCGGTAATTCAATAAATAGGTTACGATGTTAAGTGTTTCTTGCAATTGGCAATAACAAAAAAAATCCATCATGTCCGCGAAGATATATGAGAGGAAGGAAATGACAAAGTTGGGTCTAATGGATATAATGATTGATAATGTGGCGAAATCTCCACATTTCCCTCTGGCTAAGAAATACTTATTGCAACTTACGACCATTTTCAGAATAGTCGTTATTGCAGAACGAATTGAGAAAAAAAAATGGGAAGAAAATTGAAATAAAACATATTACAAATGTAAAAATATATTATGGTGATATTAAGTAATAATATTTCGATGTGTTTGATTACTGATTAAAATTAATTTATTAAATTTGCACCCTCCGTTAATTAAAAATTATGTAATATCTTTTGCAAGAATAATTTTCCGCTAATCAAGGATGTGCGCTTTTTACGAGATTAATCAAGCAGCTTCGAATGGTGTGCATAAAAAAGTGTGAATATCTGGAACCGTAACAATAAAAAATTTTGTAAGATCCCATTCGTATTCCTGTTAATTGAAACCAATTTACACGGAATAATGCATGCGA